TTAGCCAGCACATGCCTTGTTCGCCTAATGCCTTGAGCATCTCAGGGCGGATTTCATCAATTCCAGCAGCCTTTCCATATTTCAACCTTTTCACAGCTTGTGTAATTTCATCTACAGAGATTGTAATATCCATTCCCTGCTGCTCTACAGCGAGTCTTCCTGCGGTTATTGAATTGCTTGTTTCCGTAATATCTGTGGTACTTTTCAAGTTGTTTTTAAATTATTCTGCGGTAGTATCGATTTGGATAATGAGCTGTCTAAGCTACCTTTTCGTTTGCCACCTTTACCTGATTTCACATTTAATCTGCTGCTGTTTAAGATCATTGACGAAGCCACAATGTCGAGTGTCACTTTTGGTAAGTTCGAGAAGCAGTACGCGATCAAATGTCATCTGATCGATCTAATGAATAACTGTAATGAACAATTGGATATATTGTTCGGTAAGCTGCTATATACTAATTATCGAATATGGTTGGGTTTTGTAATATATTTTTATTTGCAGTGATCTTCAAGCAAGCGTTGTTTCTCTTATGGTGGTACGTGAGATTTTACACCGTTGATGTGGCGGCTCAAGACCGCGAAGTTCGGTCAGGGACAAAATTTGGAACCTCAGAAAGTATTTGGCTTGATCTTCTAAAAGTCATACGTATCCACAACCAGTGATTAGAATGAAAGCTCTTATAGACAGCTAAGTTTGTGGATACGATTTGTTTAAACAAACAAGATCGATCGACAGAATTTTTTATTCAAAACTCATGCCTTCAGATGACACCACATTCATATGTGCTTGGTCACATGTTCCAGCGATAGTCGATGCGGCGTTGTTTCGAAACGTCGATTAAAATACAGAACTAAGATGTTTGACTTTCATTGGCCTATGACGAAGGTATTGGAAGACCTTATGTCTAGGAAACATCTGATCAGTATTGATTTTGTTGCAATGGAAGACGAAACAGCTACTGCTTGCTGAAGCCGGCCGGTATTGGTCAAGAGTAACGTGGGGCGAGTATATGTAATGACTCTCCTGCAGACTTGGGAAATTTTCTGACGAAGGTCAACCGGAGGCACTGGATCAGGAATGTTTGATACGTTGCCTGATACGCCTGTCTCCTCTACCACGTTAATTGAAACTGGCTTACTGCCTAACTCACTGACTGACTGACTGATTGACTGATTTTATTACTATGATTTGTCGTATCGTTTGAGAAACCTTATCTTGCAATTGTAGACTATGTACAATTTGAGTTTGAAATAGCAAACAACATGAGAGATATTTGCAGTTTTTTGCTGACGTATTTCTATATCAGGCTGTTCGTGGCTTGTTGCTGCTACTACGTTTGTAGCGAAATGCGTCGACAATAAACTGCTAACGCTTGAATTGTTTGGGGCCATCACCTTTCAGTCGGCGAACAATCTGCAATATTACCCACGAGTACAGAATAGGAAATTGTGTCATATTTAAACTTATGTTGATCTACTGAACTTGTGGCGTACCTAAAAATTAAGACATCCTGTGATTTGACAGTTTCACATTTGAGTGCTAGTCACTTAGCTCAACTCCGTTGCTGTCAGTTCGTCTCTGATATTTCCCAGCTACGAATCTTTTGTGGTTTATCGGATTATTTTCCAGCAAGGATTCAGCACATTAAGAATGTTTGCAAAATCCTGGTTTCGTGAGTCTGTGGAGAAGTGCCTTTTCCACATTTATTAAATGATGTTAACTCCTTCAAGAACAGATTTCACGGCCTATTATACGTTTCTGCGCTCCTACTTGCCTCTGGAGCCATCTAAGCAAGTGACAGTTTCATGGTATTTGAACACCTGTAGTTTCAGACGCATCTCGCAGAGTTTGTTCGCTAGAGTCACCTCGAGTTCATCACGAACAGTGTTTCAGGAGTTGGCACTCGTTCTGCGCTGACGCATAAACATTATAAGTTATTCGTACACCGGAGGATGACTTCTCAGGGGCCAACTTTTGATGTAAATTATGATATGCTGAACTACAGACTTTAGTCGAGACTGACTGTATAAATACTGGTTAACCACGGTGTTTCGCCTAACGGTGGAACATTTATTCGACATTTTATTGTGTGAGATTGATGAGCTACTTTTGTCTATTGATGGTGCGTTGCCAAACGAGCAAAAGTTTTTCTAATTTTGTTTAGCCTAATCCGTGTTTGGCATTTGATCTGTATGGTGAATAGGCTGTGTGGTTATCTGGCGAGTACAGCCTGTTGAGTTCATCGTTCTTCAAAAGTAATTTTATTATTGCTTGACTTGAGACATGCATCCATAGCAAAGGATTAGACATCTGCAGTGTTGAATGTGTAAACAATCGCAGAATAATATAGCGTTTTGGAAATACTTTATGTTGAACATGTTCAAATAATTTTGTTAGATGCAATATACGCCTTTCAGAATAACATTAAAGATACAAATATGCTTGTAAAGCGTCTCTTCCGAGTTTGGTTACTGATCATGCTGTAATTTAGCTGTTGAGATTTATCAAGTTGGATAAAATTTTTGTCCTGTGAATTTCATATGGACAGGAATTAGGATAGTTACAGTGCTTTGAATCGAATGCAAGTAAATCTTGAGGCTAAGGTTAGCGAGTTTCCAATGGCAGCCGGGAGTCGCGACATAGCACTTTCATTTTGCTGGCTGCCGGGTTGAGTAGCCTGCTTCGCTTTCCCATGGTTGCTTGTTATGTCGTAAGATGGGACATAGCTTAAACTGAGTGTAATGCAATTGATAAAAAAAGTACTTTGCATAAAAATCTACCAAGGTTACACTGATTTCGCAGTGAAGAACGGTGTTTTGTTAGAAATCATTGAAATTAATGCAATGCGCGATTATCCAAGAATCGCCGCTTGCTTTACGAATAGCTTTCGTGGCATTTCAGAAGTAGCATCGACATTCTCGGCACGTTACACGCGCGTAGAGACGGATTGATATATAAGATTGAACGGTGTACTAGCAACTTTATGTTTTATTTCTTGAGTTTTTCAAAGGTATGGTGAAATCATTTACGGCTGATTTGATTCCTGATGTCCCAACTGTACGCCGTTTGCCGATCACCAATAAATCAAATCATCAGTTTTGACCAATAAAAAAACTTTTAGCCTTCGCGGAAACCTCTGTGGAATTCCTGAATCGTTCTTCTCTGAACGTCAGAAGCACTAGTGAAAATATCAAGCAGCTTAAGCAGAATTTGTCGCTGAACTTGGATGTTACTTTCATCGCTGACATGGAGCAGGCAGCTAAGGTACGATTCCACTGATATTTTAACTGTGGTGATCGTTGTTAACACCGCTGTTTAGATCTTAGCCGCTGCTGCTGGTCACTCTCCAGATTCCATTAATTTTTCTACGCTTATGATCCAGGAGCTGAAACGTCTGATCTGTCACTTGACGACGTAACGTACGTCTTTAACAGCATGCTGACTATTGTTAGAGCATAATGTTTGAGTGCGTTTTACGGCTACGCTTCATACCTCGATTTCCAGTGCGAATCATCTATTCTGACAGATTGTTTTTTGTTGCCAGTTGTTATGAAATTGTTTATTAAAACTTGTACTAAACACTGTTTTTACTTTGTTTCATGGCTCAAATCCGTACATTCTTCATCCAATGTTTCCACGTTGTGGGTGAGCCCGAACGTTCCTCCAGTCTTCCTGGGCTTTTTGAGCGTTTTATGGCAAGTGGTTATTCAGTAATCCATTTGGGTGTCGATGTGCCTTCAACCTTCATCTAACCAAACGGATTCAGAGAAATCGTTGTTTGCATGGTTTTGGTGTCATTGACATAAATCATTTGCGAATGGCAGGCTATTGCAATCTCAGCCTACCGGAGCAGGTTACTGGTAGCCATAGATAACTCGAAATACCATTGGCATTTTCGGTTTATTAACAGAAGTTTACTTTCGCTGATTAGCGTAATATATATGTATCACTTCTCCGAACTTGCTTTGCATTAATTTCCTTTTCCCATTCTTCTAGAAGCGTAGAGCAAACCACAGGTTCATGGTACTGTAGCCCTGCCCTGCATAGAAAAACATTTGTCTGTGGGATGTCGGTTTTCCTTAAACTTTCATGTGGTACTTATTTATCAACGGTGGAAGCAAGAAAGGCGAGTGACTCGACGATCCGGGACCTCTTGGCTCTGAATCCAACGCTCTATCGACTGAGCCATTCAGGTACTTGTGCGTGAGGTGTATTAATGTTGAATCAACCAACTTTGAACACAAATTATATCTTGAACCGCAAAATTAGGCATTGTCTCTTTTACGTCGATTTATGAACCTTTTACTTTGATTTAGGAGTTTCCCCTACAAGGAAAAATAAATTTATACATGTTTTATTGAGTTACAAAATAAAATTGGCTTCAAATTTAGTCAGATCAATTAAGAAATACAGCAGGCGAGAAATAACTGATCCGCCAAAGGTCTCACCGGCACGCAGATGAAATTCGAACGAGTTCCACCGTGTAGAAAACGTCCTTTAACCATACCTTTGTACAGTGGAGGCTCTTTGTTATTCAAGTTGCTGTTCGCAAATTACAGTTCCAGTCAACGAAAGGACAATATCCTAGATAACACAAATCCACTCACACGCGTTATTGATCTAACTCAATGACGTAGAACGGGGAAAACTCACGCAATAAAGAAGCTTCATAATTTTCACTGAAGCCATTTCAAATACGAGTGACTGCTCCAAAATCAGACCTAATCATTCGTTATTTTACATACTCGAGTGTACGAATAGCATCTGATGCTTATGCACTATCAAACTTATTTAATAATATCGTGCTGTTTGATTTGTATAACACGTACCTGATGATGACGCCAGTGTGCAGTGTACAGTAAAGTAATTTACATCACTCTTTTCAGCGGTTGCCTTAAGCTGTGTCGAGAACAATCAGTAATTGTTCAACTCATCCTTTAAGCCGTTTCTAATCTAAGTGTTGACCGTTGGCTTCATGATAGCTGTGGGTCATGTTCGCTAACGAAATCCTGTCGTGCTGCTCGGAAAATCTGCTAGTGGATTTGACTGATCGATTCGACTGATTAGTTGTATTTTTATTAAACGTAAAAAATGAAGATTTTTGTGCACAGAAGGAATTTTGCAGAAATCGATCCCTTTCTAAAGACTCCTGTCCGCTGCTGTAGGATCCTGCCAAAACATGTGTATTCCGCCTCAGCAAGTCGCTGCTGAGACGTCGTACTGAAAAACTAACGATTTCAAACGGAGTTCGTTTCCAACCGCTGACGTCAGCGGTACACGAGACTGCGCGGCGCCGTACTTTATACCGAAATCATCAATCATCATTTGATGCACGAATTTTATTGATCTGTAGAGGTTGAGTTACTAAAACGAGACTCCATACATGTGGCAGCTCCATGAAGCAGGAGCAGCTGTCAGGCGATGCTCGCCGTTCAAAAGCGTATGCAGCGATGCTGGAAGACGTAGCTTTAAGTTTAGCAAAAACTCACTGAAGTTTGAGTTGAACGTTTCATAGGGCGAGACCAAAATCCTTTTCTTTTTGACAAAGGAAGCAGCAGGAGTTTATTCCCCTGAGTACCGTAAACGTTGCAGGAACATAATTCATTCTCAAGCAGAAAGTGCCTCAAATCAACTCGCTTCAGAAAGACCTTCACTTGAAATGGAATGTTTCGATGAATTCGGCCACTACTGCTGATAAAGAAAAGAATAACCACAGCCCTAGAGGAGGGAATAGCATCCTAAACTTACTGGAGAAGATCTGGAGTATTAAGTAACAGCCCATTACTTACTACCATTATATTATTTAACATTCATTTGCCACCACTGCATTGCAATCATGCACAATCAAACTCCGCCATCACTGATCCAAAGCCCGACTGAAAATAGAAGTGTTTGCAACCGTGGTTAAGTCTGCAGCAAAACTTTGCCAGTCGCTCCTCAAGTTACACCGTTATCGCCTGGGTTAAAAAAGACCGTGAAGCTGTTGAGGAATTCAGGTAAAGAAACTGGCGATCAAAACCTGTTTTACGCTTAGTAGCATTATGACGGCTGTCGAAGATGACGAAGATATCAGTCAGCAACGGAGTCGCTACCAGTTCTGAACAGCGGAAGCGGTCAGATAATGTTCCGCAGAAGTCACAATCCGAAATTACGACATCTCCTCCTCACTACTGGATGTAGTTAGCCCCTCGTCAACCAATTTCCGGGGTTCTAGAATTCTGAACCTCTGCGAGTGGAAGCTGTGCTACTGAGGCGTAGACTCCGTGACCCGTGCTCGAGTCGGTGTAGTTTTCGTAGAACCCGAGTTACTGAATGAAAACCTGCCAACGGAAGAGTGGGTGGGTGGCAATACGACTTCCGCCGTAACAGAAGGAAGCATTAGCGTTGCACGAGTTTACACGGCGAATTAGAATGGAGAATATGCATCCATTCCTGATGAGGTAGAACAATACACTGACGACTACAACGATCATTCTGGTGGGTGACTCCAATGCACATTTCTGAGCAGATAGTGAAACGGAAATGGAAGGGCGTGACTGGAAAGAACGGCCCTAGCGCCCTCAACAATAACAAGAAATTGTTGCGCTTTTGTGCAAACAACGAACCGTCTATAATGAACAGCTTCTTCGAGCAATGAAGCGCGTATCAGCATACATGGTATGGGAAAGAGTGTGCACAGAAGTCGATTACAGATTTCATTATCGTTGATTAGAAGCAAAGATTCTTCAAATCGAATACAATGCAAAAATGTGAGTAAAAGGGCAGCTAAAGCTGACTGATGAGAAACGTTCACTGAGGTGTTGGAATCGAAGCAGTGGTCGCGTCTGAGGCGCAACGAAGAAATGTCTAAAAATCTTTAGGGATAAGTTCAATCTCTTATTCAAGGAAAAAAATATACTTCGGCTGTGAAAAGTATTCTACTCAGGTGACAGTACTTTCAGAAACCTCCTAACGCCAAGCAAGTGCGATAGGACTCACTTGAAACACATAGCGTAGGATAACGAATGAAGTCATAAAAGCTGTAGCAAGCATAAAAGTGGCAAGACAAGAAGAACTGATTAAATCCTCCTCTACGTGCTTAATGTTTTAGGCGAACAAGGCATGTCGAGGCTAACACGCATATGCTAAACTGCAATGACCTCGGGGAAGACACTAGTGGACTGGAGTTGTAGCATTCCTGTTAAAGAAGGGAGATCGTGGGGAGTACGACAATTGTCTGGAAATTATCTCAGTGAACCTCAAGAATACAAGGAGTAACGGCAGAAGTGGAAAAGTGCACGGGTCATCGAGTAATTAATTAAAGGTGGAATAAGTCGACCGGCGAATCACGCACGACAGGTAACAGTTCTGCGCGAATCACTCAAAGCAGAGCGGAATCTTAAGACAAAGCTGCCTGCGTTCAAATCAGTTTTCATCTACATGCTAACTCATGGTGGAGTTGTGGATCATGACTAAAAACAGTCATGTCGGGTACAAGCAGCTGAAATTGGCGTTCTAAGACGAATCGCTGGACTTACGCTTCTCGACAGGGTGCGAATATTCAAAAATTCCAGAGGACTGTTACACGGCTGCTTATGCAGACTGAGAAGTTGTAGCTGCAATGGTAAGGTTTGGACACGTATTATGAATGCTTAAAGATACGATGTCGAAATAGCTACTGCTTGCTCAACCGATTGGAAAAAAACTTTGAGGATGGCCAAGAATGATCTGGACCAAGTGCTCAGCCGGGTCTGCTCAAGATCCGGATTATTATTCTGCCAAAGCTCAGACGCTGGCACAGAATCGCGAATATTAGAGGCACTGCCTGATGCTTATACCTGAAAGGATAAGCGGTCATTCGAACTGATTAACTGACTGACACAGTAGTCAGATGTCCATCTTCAGCTCATTATACCCTAGCATTGAATGAAGATGAGAAAGGAATCTGAGATGACTGACGATTGGCCAGCAGAATGATATCTTCGTAAAGGGCATATTTTTCATAGAAGAAGAAACTCGTTGAATATGCATCCTCTAAGGTCATGCCTATCGCTTAAAGCACCCATCATTGAAAGAAATACAGTGGCAAAGTAGGGTAAATATACCGCTACGGCTGCCACGAAGATTTGTCAATAGCTATGATTGCGAAAACCAAATATCAATCAATTCCATTTGTTAGCACGAGAATCATTATCAATCAATGAATGTGATAGCGACAGAAGTGATAATAGGTAATTCATATGCTACGTACAAAATAAAACACTTTATTTCACTTTAACGATTGGACACATTAACTTAAAACATACTCAGAAAATAATAAATACAACACCGCACAGCGATAGTCATAATAATATTATAAAAACAAATGACCATAAACACAAAAGTCTTAGCTCAAAAGAGCCAGTATCTCATCGCATATAGAATGGATCAACGAATCGG